CCAGGTATATCCAACAGAAAAGAAATGTTTGCTCCTGGGTATGCAGGTTGTGAGCAAGCTTCCAAAAGGGTGCATCTGGGCACCAAATCGAGACAGTGAAATGAGGGAACCAGGTGTCCATCTTAACCCCTGGCAGGGATGCCAGCAGCGTTTCTGCAGAGCTCACCTCGGCAGACCTCTTCCAATCTGGCACAGGGGCCCATGGAATGCTGCCAAGTCCAGCCCTTCCAACCAAACTGACTTCCTTGAATTCTCCATGCATGCCTCTTTTTCTCATTATTAAAACTCCTGGAAACACAGCCCTACCCAACACTGCCAAGCCTCAGAGGCAGCAGCTAATATTTTTTAAAGATGTGTAGGAATAGTTTTTAAAGTAAAAAATGTAGTGAGTATTCAGCCTGCAGTAGCAAGCATTTATTTTTCAAACTTCCCACTTTTCTTACATAAGATATATCACAGGACTCAAGATAAGGTGCCAATAAGTAACCTCGGGCCATTTCTACTCAGGAGGCATTATGGTCCTACATAGCACATGTTCACCAAGAGCAGGGCCCACCGGGCCCTCAACACTATACCATAACCACAGAACAAGGGAGGGAGGAGAGGATGAATTGTGTAGAAGCAACCGCTAACCCTGGGCTGTGGCTTGCTGCTCCCTGCCTTCTTCACCCTCCACCACAAGCAGAGAAGGAAAAGGAAGGCTTTCCAGGAACAGCCAGCCAAACCCACCAGGCTGGAGCAAGCAGGTTCCTACTCTTCTAACTTGGGCTCATTTCTCATGTTCCACTGGGCTTGCCCCCTCCCAGCAGATCTATAGGGGGCCTTTTACCTCTTTCACCCCCTCTGCTACCAAGAACTCTATGCCTTCCCTCTGATGTAGAGCTTCAAGGACATTTCCATGAAGTGGGAATACTAATAAAGATTACTTAAGGGTCCTTCTGCTCAGATAGCTCTTTCCATCTCTTCTGAGGAGGCCAAAGGGGTTTCATCTGATTCCAGGATGTCTCATTGGTAGCTATTTACTTAGAACTTAATCAGTCAAGCTAAGAAATTTGCTCATTCTACATAAGAAGATGCTAATAGAGCGGCCTTCGGCTAGACTGAGAGCCAACTGTCTGGATTTAAGTTCCAGCTCGAACTTATTAGTCACAGGACATTGTACAAATTGTTAACCAAATTGAGTCTCGGCTTCCTTGTTTGTAAGATGGAGATGATGGTAACCATAATAATACCCACCTCATAGGGTTGTCTTATTAAAACAAAATTAACTAGCAAGCCCTTGATAAACATCAGTCTGTGTCCCAGGACTGTTGTGTCTGAAGCTGATGAGGATAATTTCTTCAGCCTCACTGATGAAGGCCCAGTTTGAATTCTATGATGCATGCCTTGGACCTCAGAGGATGGAGAAAATCCAAACCTCAGAATGAAATTCAAAAGCCTTTCTCTTGATAGTTAAGGTCCTCCACAATCTACTCCCATCCTTCTTTCCAAGTAGACTCCTGCTGTATGTCTACACCATTCTCCAGGTCATCCATCCATTAAAAAAAGAAAAAAAGTCAAGCACTAAATATCAAGTACATGGCAGGCATGGTTCTCCATCTGGTCAGCCCAGAGTCTTTCCCATCCTAGACAGTCTATCCTGAGGACAGAGCTGAAGACTAGAGCTTCCACAAAGCCCTTGCTGGCTGCTCAAGTCCACAAGGGCTTCCTCTTCTGACCCCTCTGAGGTCTTCAGGGTTTTACTTGGCATTTGTCCTACATTGGTTATTTTGTTATATAGTCATATTTTACAAACATAATTAAATGTACAAGCAACTCAGGGATAAATCTTACATTTCTTTGTGTATCCCTAAAAGTCTAGTACTGTGTTTGCATTTAGCAAGGATTTGGTGATAAGTGATTTTTTTTTTTTTTTTTTTTTTTTTGGTGCTGGGTATCGAACTCAGGGCCTTGTGCTTGCAAGGCAAGCACTCTACCAACTGAGCTATATCCCCAGCCCAATAAGTGATTTCTTAATGTTTCAAAAGGACATAGATGGCTCAAGCAAACCCATTATCATTCTTTCAAAACAAACACCCCTCAGATCAATACTCTCCTATAGTATAGAAGTTTAAAGGCTCAGCCAGGCATAGTGGTGCATGCCTGTAATCCCAGCAGCTAGGGAGGCTGAGGCAGGAGAATCACAAGTTCAAAGCCAGCCTCAGCAACTTACTAAGACCCTATCTCAAAATAAAAAAGGGCTAAGGAGGGCAGGGGGTATAGCTCAGTGGTAGAGTGCTTACTTAGCATGTGTGAGGTACTGGGTTCGATTCTCAGCACCACATATAACTAAGTAAAATAAAAGTCCATTGACAACTAAAGAAGAAGAAGAAGAAGAAGAAGGAAAAAATATATATATATATGTGTGTGTGTGTGTATATATATATATATATGTATATATATATGGCTACGGATGTGGCTCAGTGGTTGAGCACCCCTGGGTTTAATTCCCAGTATCTGAAAAAATAAAAGTTTTAATGGCTCAATTTCCAGACCTAGACTTATTAGGTTTATGGTTAACTCTGTCACTTACTAGCTGTGTGACCTTGAGGATGTTACTTAACCCCTCTGTACTTCAGTGTCCTCATCTATAAACAAGATAACCAAACTACCTACACTTCTTAGGGTATTATAAGGATGAAATTAGATAAAGCACTTTGAATGGGACTTGGCACACAGTAAATACTCTTTAAATATTTATTATGATTATTACTATCTTCTTGAAGTACAACTCATGCATAATGCCCCCAAAAGTATAGTATGCAGCACCCACATAGAAAGCTACTAGGTATAGGTATATAAAAAACATTTTCCCCTACTTCTTCATTCATTTGGCCTATTAGGTTATATCACAATAACAACCAACAAACTCTACCTTAAAGACTTCCCTATCTCTGTGCCATTTATCAGTTACCTTATGCTGTCAAAAAAAAAAAAAATCTACAATGCCACTGTCCCTTTCACTTCTGCAAAGCTTTAAGCATGCATGCAACTAAAAAAAAACCATATATATATCCCCACCATGGCTTGAAAGAAGAAGGAAGGTGTTAAGCAAAACTGATGTGCTACTAAAAACATCAAGGCTATACAGGGCCATCAACCTCACCACATTCCCAAGAAAGACCTTCTTCAGTGTGTTTGTCAGTCTGACTCAGGCATTGATGAAAGCAGAAAGCCCTGCTCAGAGCCACCAAAGGTGGTTTTGTACCTTGTCATCATAGCATGATGTTTCTCTTTCTCTCTCTTCCTCTTACTCTCCTCTCTTGCTACTACTTTTCAATGTGATTTTAATTAAGATCCATTTTAATGCACAGGCCAAAAGGCAAATAACTCTTCAATAATGAGACAAAACGAAACTGCTGACAGAAAATAACAGAAGAATGGGCAGTTCAAATTCACACACTGGCATTCAAAAGGAAACCCAAAACCAAGCAACTTTCTTTCAAAGGATGTGCAATGAGGGGGATATTCTGCTTTCCATCCTCATAAACCAATTTCTCCCAACTGACTTCCACTCAGCCTTCCTAATACCACCCCTGGTCTGAGGCTATGGGGATCCCTAAGGGTGGAATGGTTCCTTCAGTACAACACCCTGGTTAATAGCACAGATGTAAAACCCTCCACTTCCCAGCTTTGTCACACTGAAAGTTATCTAACCTCTCCATATCTCAATTCATCACCTATAAAGTGGCAAAAGTAATTATTTCCAACTCAGAGTTGTGATTATCTAAGCTCATTAAATAAAAAATATCCTTATTCATTTTTATACTCTATAATTGTTCAGCCCAGTGGCTGCCTGTAGTGTATATTCAATAAGTGGTAATTATTACCCCCTCCATCTGTACCCGCAAGTCAACAGCCAAAACCAAGGGACTAATCATTTTTCAAGTCAATGCTTTTCTTGTTGAGACCTGCCAGTTTCCAAAACTGATCCAACAAATTAGTTTATGTGGCCATTAGGGAAAAGACACAGAGCAAATTACAACAAATGGAGTAAATCAAGCTTCCAAATTTATTAAGCAACCCTGACATGGAACACTAAGATGTTGGTGTGGAGGATTGATAACTCTTAATAAAGGAACAACATTCCAAACTATCATTTGCTGATTCTCAGCTCCAATCTAATACTCTGATGGTCTCCAAAAAAATACATGCATTTCTCTATTTTTTTGAAAAAAATATTTATGCTTTTTGTAGCTCTAAGATTGAAACCCAGAGCCTCACACCTGCTAGGCAAGTCAGTGAGCAATATCCCCAGCCTCTTCCTCTACTTTTCAAAAAGTTACATGTTAAAATATCTGAAATACACAAAATTAGCCAGGCAAATCTGTAATCCCAGTGGCTCAGGAGGCTGAGACAAGAGGAACTCAAGTTCAAAGCCAGCCTCTGCAAAATAGCAAGACCCTAAGTAACTCAGTGAAACCCTGTCTAAAAATAAAAAATAAAAAGGGCTGGGGATGTGGCTAAGTGGTAAAATGCCTCTGGGTTAAATCCCCAGAACCAAACTATCTATCCATCTACCTATCTATATGAAATAGACAAAATTAAATACCTTCCAAGCATCCCATCCCAAAAGCATCTCTATCCAGAAGGCATATTTACTTTGTAATAGAGAAAATAATAAAAAGTGTCTTTCTTGACATTTTTATTTAGAGACAGCAATGTAAGTATAATCTATCCATGTAAAAAAAATTAAAGTGTGCTAATCATTAGCATATTTTTTCTCTACTTGCCTAAACAAGGTTAGGAAGTATCTGTATTAGTGACATTGGAATCCTAGTCTAGGCAAACATGTTAGATATCTGTATTATGGTCAAACATTTTATTTACTTAAAGAACCTAAATATTCAAGTTTTACATGAACATCAGCATGGTGCAAATTCTTCTAAACTGAAGAGATTGAAGAAAAAAATATATCCAAAAGAATATAATGACTATTCAATTTATATGACACAACTCACCTGCAGTGACTAAACAGGAGCTCATCAGGGTAAACATGGCGATCATATAATGGGATGTCATTTTTATTTCTCCAACAGTGCACATCCAGTCACTGCAGCCTATAGTTCTTCGGGTCACAGACAATCTTTGCAAATCAGAAATGGCCTTAAAACCCCTCTTTGCAATGTTAAAATTGCCTGTAAAAAAAATAAATAATTTTCAATAAGAGAACTTAGTACAGAAAATTCTTTTCATAAACAAACACACATTAAAGTTAAATTGGCCAGGCACGGTGCACACGCCTATAATCCCAAGGGCTCAGGAGGCTGAGGCAGGAGGATCAAGAGTTCAAAGCCAGCCTCAGCAAAAGCAAGGTGCTAAGCAACCCAGTGAGACCCTGTCTCTAGATAAAACATAAAATAGGGCTGGGGATGTGGCTCAGGGATGAACTGCCCATGAAGTCAATCCTAGTACCAAAAAAAAAAAAAAAAAAAGTTAAATCAAGAATTTCTGAAAGGTGTCAAAGAAAAAAATCTGTCTTAAAAAAATGATAGACTAGTACTGAAGCAAACTAGGGTAGAAATGGTGATAACCCAAATTAAGATTTTTATAGCAAATACTTTAGCAATTGACATGATTATATTTTAACACTTTTAAATCTTTGGGTTTAAGATTGTTTTTACCCACAATCTCTCTATGTTGCCCAGGCTGGTCTCAAACTCCCGAGCTCATGCAAGCCTTCCACCTCAACCTCCTGAGTAGCTAGGACTACAGGCACGTACCTCCACAACCAGATAAATCACGACAATAGAAGAAAATCGAAATGCACCTGTAACACCACCAGTTACATTGTGGTACAATAAACAATGACATGAAACATGCTTTCTCTAGTGCCAGGACACACACACACACAAAAATAGCTCTGATTAGAGACTCATTCTAATGTTATAATGACAGGGTTATCACAGGCATCAAATTAAATTACGCTGAGAATCAATCTGAAAAAACAAAGAACCATAAAAAAGGCAAAGCTCTTATTCCATCTGTTTGCTGACATTCTAGCAGATGTCTCCCCTGCCTTTCAGCCCCATCTGGACTAGATGATCCAGAAGATCCTTTCTAACCTTTTCCTATCCAGAGTCTAATCAGAGTCTGCTGGTAGTTTGCTCAACCTGAATATTCCTCCCATGGCTGCTTTACCTCATAAAGACACTTCAAAGTATGATTTCCAGCCTTATATCCCTGAGCTGGTACAACTCCCGGAAGTTGTTCAATTCAACAAATATGTATTGAGCACCTACTATGTTCTAAACATGATTTCTTCTCATCAGCAATAAAAGTTATCCAACAACTGGATAAAAGTTCAAATAATCTGCTTGATCTAAACCCTGGGCAAGGCAGGATGGGGGAGTTTCCCAGAAATCTCTGATACAAAGAAGGGTTGCAACCTTGTCATCCTCACCCAGGAGATGCTATCCACAGAATGAGTTCCTATTGAAGTGGTCTTTGTTCATCAAATGTTAACAGAAAGAAATTTAAAATGGTTCTTCAAGGCTGAAAGTGTAGATCAATGGCAAAGCACTTGTCTGGCATAAGTGAAGTCCTGGGTTTGATCCCCAGCACCACAAAAAATGAGTAAATAAAATGGGTCTTCACGGATGTAACACTAAATGCCTGTGTGAAAAGGGAAAATTGGGTGTTAGGGGACACAGATAGGAGGAAGCAGGTTCTGGGTTTTGTAATGATACAAAATATGTGAATATTACCTATCTGGAAACAGTAACAATAAAATTGTAACTTCGAAAAGAACTTTTTAGATATGCCTTAAAAATAAATTATTATATATGGTTCAATCTTGGTATATGGTGGAAATTAAAAGCCTAGTATAGAAAAATAAAAGCCTAGTATGAATACAATATGGGTTATGGTGGCAGTTAAAAATCTGCCCAGCTGTGAATCCACCCTGCCACCTACCAATGAGTGATGATTGATGTCAGGCAGATTACTTTTCATGAATGAACCTATGATGTGGTAGGATATGGTAAGTGAGGACTCAGTAAGTACAAATGATGCTTCGAAAAGTGCCTAACACATTAAAAAAATAAACAATCAGTATATATTAGCTAATATTCTCACTACCTGTTTATTCTCTTTAAGGCAGTTAAACTAATAAAATGGAAAGATCACTGTGTGGTCATTTACGTAAGTCTTAGCTGCTGACAAACCAGTTCAATCATTTGTTTACTGAAAAATAAATGCAACAGACCAAAAGAGGAGATAAGCTAAAGAGCTGTATCACTAAGAGAATAAAGTTGCCAGTGAAGTTGAGGCACAAGTCATTGGTGACACAATGGTCTTGTCTCAATGCCAACTAAATTATATGGCTCATTTGGAAGCCATAAAATAGATCCTTGAAGCCCAACATTTCTGTCACTGTATTTCCACCTCAGACAAAAAGGAAATCTTCTGTTAACAATTTGACAACAATAGGGAAACCTATACTTTCCCTTCAGGAAATCAGATTTCCTGAGTGGATTGGTAAGGAGAAAACTCTCTGAAAGAATATGCTATTTCAGCAAATGCTAAGGGCCATTTTTATAAAGCAAAACCCTCCAAGGAGATCCCAGAAGAAGATGGCTTCCCAGAGGACTTTTATGGGGCACATAAACCATAGGCAGCACAAGTCTAGAGGGAATATTTAATGAGCATGTGTCACCCCTGCCCACAGCCACAGAGGGTCTGTGGGGCTGTGGCCCATTAATCCAGGGGCTTAAACCAGTTCTGCACAAATCTGTGGAAAGAAAGGCAAATGGTTCTATTAAAAATATAGACTGCAAATTGCTGACAAGAATATTGGGCAATTATTAAAATGCAGCAATTACAGATATAATAAAGCCAAGCTAAACAATTTGATGCCCAAAGGCAAACCACAGCAAGTTTACACCGGATCCTAAAACATCTCCGAGGAAGTCAGAGACAAGTTGAAACTACACACTGCTGTTTCTAACAAAGAGAGAGCTTTCCTTCTTTTAGCATAAAAGTCCCTTCATAATGTAACTTGTTCAAAAAGAAAATAAACTGCAGGGGGGTTTCGGTCTAATCTTCAAAGACAGGATCCTAAGGCAGAGGAGAATGGAAAAGGAAGCATGAGGTTCCCATTCAGCCTGACTTCAGTGTGGACCAACACCTGCACACACCAGTACCTCGACACATGAATCAGGGATCTATTCCCTAGTTAGAAGAATGTGGGTGACTCTGGGCCTCCAATAAGTGGTGGCTTTGAAATAAACCCAGGGAACATGAGCTCCTCTTTTCTGTGAGGTTCTGTCACATTAACTTCACAAAGACCAAGGACTTCAGGCCCTGGCTTTTTGACTTCACTGAATCTCTTTGGACTTTCAAAAAATAGATAGGTCCTCTGAGATCTGCAAGAACAACTGGGGGTAGAATAATCACTTTGCCCACATTTCAAAGCAATGTGTTCCATTCAAGGGGTATGAGAACATTTAGTATTCATAAACTAAGAGAATAAAATTCTGAAAAAGAACTTCATGGATTAAAAAAGAACGTGCTACTAATTTTGCTAATTTCAAGAGTTTGTCTTTGTTCATTTCTGAGGCCATTAAACTGAGCATGCTGTCCCACATTCTCTGGTGATTCAACAAAGCACTCAAGTGAAGACTGGGATTAGATGAAAAACCCTAACCTTAACACCATCCTGGGTTTAAACCAATGTTCAAAAGGAATTGGTTGGGAACAATATTGCCTGGTTGAATTTTTACGGTTGTTGTTGTTTAGTTTTAGAACAAATCTTGGTCTATCTTGGAGAAAAAAAAAACTGGAAAAATGGGTGTCTAGCAGTAGGTTAATAATCAGTAAAAAAAGAAAAATACTAACTATCCTTTTGATGGCTAACATATTTACCTATATGAGATTATTCAGTCAACACTACATCATAATTAATTTGTAACTGATCAATTACGCAGTTAAAAATTTTAGCATGCTAAAGATATATGAATGGCTTTTCAAACTGAAAGAGATCCACAGGATTTCATTGATGAAGATGAGCCCCAAATTCCAAGACTTACACTTGCCCAAAATAATAGGACAGAGGCAAGGCTCGGTCTCTGTCCATGACTACCGCTCTACCTCCCAATTTCAGCTCTGTCGTCACAAACTGGAAACCATGTTGTCCTCTCAACATTCAATCTCTGAAAACAAAACAACGTTTTTTCCAAAATAGGGGGAAGTCTGCCATGGCTACTATCAGACACTGATATGCACTCTGCACAAATGATTACTGATCATCACTGTGACTCAACTGCAGGACCATGGTGGTAGTTATAATAAATAAACCATCCTTGGTAATGCTGAACTCAAAGATTTTTAAAAATGCAAAGGGCAAGATGAAGCACGAACCTGTGACTGTCACATTCTAACACTAACACTGTTTTACCTGAAATCAGCAGGAGAAATCAGAGATGGAACAAATTTGAAGATCTCAAGGACACAGACATAGTAGAATTTAAAAATTCCCATTGACTAAATTCAAATAGTAAGAAAAACCTGAGCTACTGGTAGCCTGAACATGGAATGGTTTCAGAAAGATCTTTACAATGTTTACAATCCACCATTTAATTGGGGGAAAAAAATGTTTTCTTTTTTTTTAGAAACACACAGTTAAGTCTGCATGTGATTTTAAGAAAAGCTCATAGAGAAACTGTTCTGATGGCTATTCAACCTGCTATTTAGGGGATTCAGAAAGAAGCAGCATGAATGGCATCAATATCTAGCTTGGCAGCCTATAAAAAGGGGTGTACAGGATGTTAGAATAGATACTGTTGTTTGATGACATTTGGATGCCCTTTAGGACCTGTACACAGAAAGCAAAGCCACCTTATTGTCACAGCAGCGACTCTCAGGTTTCTCTATCACACAAGGGAACTGGACAGTTTCCAATCTGTCTACAATGGTAGACAGATTTGGCACAGAGAAGGAAAACATCCTGGATTTGGTTGAGAAATCTTTGGAATCATATCTAAGCACAATCGGTATTCAACAAATATTTACCACTACTATGTGCCAGACACTGTTCAAGATGCCAA